GTCAGATAGAATGCATTGGATTATTTCTATTTTCTTATATTTGCTGAGGCTTGCTTTGTGCCCTAAGATATGATCAATTTTTGAGAAGGTTCCATGGGCTGCTGAGAAGAATGTATATTGTGTAGAAGTTGGATGAAATATTCTGTAGACATCAGCTAGGTCCATTTGATCTATGGTGTGGTTTAGATTTACTGATTTTTTGTTTGGATGACATATCTATTGGTGATAGGTGAGTATTAAGGACTCCCACTATCACTGTGTTGGAGTTTATATATGTTTTTAGGTCCTTTAGAGTATGTTTGATGACATTGGGTACATTGATATTGGGTACATATAGGTTGATAATTGTCATTTCCTTTTGGTGTATTTCCCCTTTTATTAGTATGGAATGTCCTTCTTTATCTCATTTGATCAATGTAGGTTTGAAGTCTACTTTATTCAAGATCAGTATGGCTACTCCTGCCTGTTTTTGGGAACCATTGGCTTGGTAAATCTTCTTCCAGCCTTTCACTTTCAGCCAGTGCTTATTTTTGTTGATGAGGTAGGTTTCCTGTAGGCAGCAGATTGTTGGATCTTCCTTTTTAATCCAGTTTGCCAGTCAGTGTCTTTTAATGGGGGAATTTAGTCCATTAACACTGAATTTAGCATTCAGTGTTTGTATTGATAAGTACGTGGTGATCCCTGTCATGTAGTTGTCTTCATTGATTAAGAGTTTGATTATGTGTAGCTGAAGCAATGTTACTCTTTACTTTCTTGCCTTTTCTTTTCCTGTGGTTTGGTATTGCCTGCGCTTTCATGGTTTTGTTTGCTTTCATTATCTGTGTGCAGAATTCCTTGGAGAATTTTTTGTAGCTTGGTGGTCATATATTGTTTTAATTTCTGCTTATCATGGAAGACTTTTATTGTTCCATCTGTTTTGAACGATAGTTTTGCTGGGTAAAGTATCCTAGAATTGAAGTTATTTTCATTCAGTGCTTGGAAGATTTCATCCCATGTTCTTCTTGCTTTTAATGTTTTCGCTGAGAAGTCTGCTGTTATTTTGATGGGTTTACCTTTGTATGTTATTTGTTTTTTCTCTCTTACAGCCCTCAATATTCTTTCTCTAGTCTCTGTATTTGTTGTTTTAATGATGATATGTCGTGGGATAGCTCCATTTTGATCAGGTCTGTTCGGTGTTCTGGAGGTTTCCTGTACCTGAGTGGGCATAGTTTTCTTTAGATTTGGGAAATTTTCTGTTATTATTTTGTTGAAGATATTACACATTCCTTTTGCTTGAACCTCTTCTTCTTCAATGCCCATGATTCTAGGTTTGGTCTTTTGATGGAGTCAGTGAGTTCTTACATTTTCTTTTCACAGGTCTTGAGTTGTTTAATAGTTCTTCAGTTTTTTCTTTAATTGCCATTTCATCTTCAAGTTCTGAGATTCTGTCTTTTGTTTGTTCTATTCCGTGTGATTGGCCTTCCATTTTGTTTTATATTTCTGTATCATTCTTTTTTTTTAAGATTTTCCATATCATGGGTTACTTCTTTAATATTGTCAATTTTTTCCCTTAATTCATTTATCTCTTTGCTTATGGTGATCTTTTAGTTTGGTGTTTGTTTAGGGCTCCTATGATTTCATTTGATATTCTTTATTTTTATTGCCTTGGAATTTCTTGAGTGCCTCCTGTACATTTTGGTTGACCATGTCTAGTATCATCTCTATGAAATTCTCATTGATTATTTGCAGGATTTCCTCTTTCAGAGTGTTCTTGTGTTCGTTGGGTTCCTTGGTATAGTTCTCTCTTTGTTGGAGTCTGGGTCTGGGTATCCATTTTCTTCATTTTGCTCTAAATCCTATACTACTTTATTTTTGGGGGAAGAGTGGTTTCCATCCCTTTTTCTTCTTCCCATATTTCCACTAGGTACTGTTTCTGTCCCTGAACTATGTGTAATTTGGTATTAGCTGGGTTACAATATTAATAATAACAAAATTGTGAGAGAAGGATAAAAAAGAGAAAGAGAAGAAAAGATAAAAGGAAGAGAGAAGAGAGAAAAAAAGGAAAGAAAGAAATTTCAAAAAAAATGTGAGAGATGGTGGGTGATCAAACAGCAAACCAGGCTGCCAAACCCTTAAAGAAGGGAGGAAAAAAAAAAATCACCAGTTCTGGAACAGCAGGATTGCAGTCTTAGTTGTTTTCAGTTCTTTAGTGTCCAGTCCTGTGTGTGTATCTCTTAGGCACGCAGCCGAGCGGGGACCTGGTGGAGCGGTCATCTGGGAAGCCTTAGAGCGGGGCAGCTCCGCACAGGGAGCGGGGTTCCTGGCAGGCTGGTGGGTGCGGCTGTGTCGCAGCAGGATGGTCCCTGTCCCAGCCGGCTGCGCCAGTCATCCACACTGAGCTGGAGCGGGGCAGGGCCTGATGGGGGGGTGGGGGTCCGGTCATCCCACGCGTGGCTGGGGCTCAGCAGGGCCTGAAGGGCAGTGGGCTGGGGAGGGGCAGGTATCCGGGCGAGCTGTGGGACCGAATCCGGCTGGGGTCCGGGGCGGACTGGTGGCGGGGATCCTGGTGGTCGTGGATCCGGCAGCACCGCCGAGGGACGAGGGTCCCGCGTGTGCGGGTCTGGGGCCGGAGGCTGGCATGGCCGAGGGATGGGGGTCCCGCGTGGCCGAGGGATGGGTGTCCTGCATGGCCGAGGGATGGGTGTCCCGCATGTGCGGGTCTGGGGCCTGAGGCCGGCATGGCCGAGGGGTGGGGGTCCCGCGTGGCCGAGGGAGGGGGTCCCACGTGTGCGAGTCTGGGGCCGGAGGTCGGCGTGGCCAAGGGCGAAGGGCCTGGCAGAACAGGGGGGCTCTGCAGACCTATGGGTGGGGATTTGGCAGGTGGCTCCTGTTTTATTCGGTTGTGCGTGGAGAAGCCGCCCACAGTTTGTGTTTTGCTGTCCCTGGAGCTTCACCTCAGTCGGGCTGTCCCCAGCTTCTCCGCAGGATCTCTGGGTCAGCTCTCTGGGTCAGCTCACGAGCCCTGCAGCTCTGTCCCTCACCATCTTGAATACTCTGAAGACCATCAGTGTCATTTTCCTGTTCTGTTTCTGCAGCCAGCTAACTCAGTTCTCAGAGGTGATGTCATGTAGTGGTTAGGAGTGAGACTTGCCTGAATCTGAAGTCTTGACTCTGTTATTACCTTGGGCATTGCTTACCTTCTTTGTGCTTCAGTTTTCTCTGGAAAATATGAATAATAACAATAGCACTTCCTTCATAGGGTTGTGGTAATGATAATAGATGGTGCATGTCGGGCCTGCCACATTGTAATTGCTCAGAAACATTACAGTTCTCATTACTGTTACTACTATTTGTCCATCATTCAGCCAATGGATGGTTTTGAACCCAGGTCCTTCCTGCATATTACACCCCACAGTACTGCCTCTTAAGCAGAGGTGAGCTTTCCTGTGTTAGCTCCTCTTCCTGTAGTTGCTGGGGCCTTCCAGTATTGTCCCCTCTGCTTGCATACTCTCTTTCCTCCTGTAGCTCAGATTCCTCCCCTTCCCAACCTCATAGTAAGTTCTAACTGACTCTGAGATAACCTCAAAACCTAATTTCTATTCCTCTGGGTCAATCTATTACCAGTTACTGTAGAGAATAAATGACTGGTTAACCTGAAGGAGGAACAGTGAGAAAAATTGAAAAATTGCACCTGAAACCTCTTATAGCATTCTTATATTTTCCCCAAGGAAAAAAATATAGATATAATAAAGATAAGATATAAAAGCACCACCAGGACTCTTAGAATTTAACAAGCTGAGCAACCTCAGAGCTCACATATATTTTCCTCACTTACAGAGACTTAAGGGAAAGAAGGGGAAGGTCTGAAGACCAGCAGCCAGGTAGTGGCCAGTACCACCTCTCCAGCCTATGGCCAGCTCACTTTCTACTGAATCTCAGAATCAAGGGTAGGGTTTCAGTGAAGCCTCTTCTGTCCATATTTGCACTGTTATCCACAATGTACAATAGGAGATCATGGTCATTCGATTAACTTTGCACCAGGGTTCTATTATATTTTTGTTGATTTGACAAGTGTGGATGTCTGTTGCCACAGAAGAGCTGTCTTACAGCAAAGCTAGTGACTCAACCTTTGGCTGGGTGTGGCAGTTCATTCCTGTAATCCCAGGTGGATCACAAGTTCAAGGCTAGCCTGGGTTGCATGCTAGGATCCTATCTCAAAAAACAAACAAGGGCTGGAGGTGTGGCTTATGTAGTAGAGCTCCTGCCTAGCAGGCTTAAGCCCTGAGTTCAAACCCCAGTGCTGCCTAAGAAAAAGGCTAGGGGCATGACTGAAGTAGGAGAATACCTGCCTAGCAAGTTCTAAGCCTAAGTTCAAACTGTAATACTGCAAAAATATTAAATCTAAAAACAAAGAAACAAATAAATGAATCTTTGGTTCAGTCACCAAATAAGCATCTGTGCTACCCCTTTTCTGTCTTTCATTGTGAGGAAGATAGAAGGATGAGCATCTGCACAAATATGAATTGTATGAATTGCAGATGTCAAGGAATTTAGAGGAGGCCAAAGTCATTTGCTGTAGACCAGTCTGATGGTGCAGGCTAGAGGTAGTTAATAAGAGCGGAGGCTAGGGAGAAGGAGTAGAGGGTGGCTAGCATTTTGTAGGTGGAGTTTTGTAGGTGGGTTACATTGCAGTCCTGGAGATGAAAGGTATAGGTTAGAACATTATAGTTCTGTGAGGAGACCTGGCTGGCCAGCGCACAAATCAACTGGGGGAAGCAGACAGAAATAAACTGCTTTGGTTATGGCAGGTCTTGAAGACAGGCAAAGGAGAATCACCTGAGGTGTCCCCCCAAGTGTGTTGAGAGTAATGAGGATGAAGGACAGGGCCTGAGTGTTGAAAAAGATGAAGACTTAACCTCCTTTTCTTTAGTGGACCAGAGAAATTAATTTGTGTAATTTATGGACCAGGCATCTCCCCAAACATTTTATTTTGTATAATTTCTCCTTCCCGCTTTCTTTAGAATTGCACCATCACCAATGGACCTGGTTGGTTTTGGTTATGCGGCCCTTGTGACATTTGGAAGCATTTTGGGATACAAGCGGAGAGGTAAATAACCCTAAAACAAATTGTTCATCAGAGGAACTTAGTGGGGAGTTGTTAGTTGTGTTCAGATCATCTGAGGGCCTATAAGCAGGACATGAAGCTAAAGATGTCTTAGAGGTCACTGTGCATCAGGATGTTGTGGAAAGGATCCATGGAGGGAAGAGGGTGACATGAGGCCAAGCACAGCCGAGCTCCAACCTGGAACTTCTGGACGTCTCTTCACTGTAAAACTCTAATCTCACCCCCATTATGAGTTGCATGATTAATTGATTTAATCTTCTTCAGGGGCACTCACTTATTATTAAATAAGGATTTTTTTTTTGGCTTACATAAATTGTGTCCAAAACAGAGCTATATCAATATTATGTTTTGCAAAGGAATATTTAAGTACTTATATATGTCCAAAGTTGTCTCTTCATCTTAATCCAAAAGAAGGGAAAACCCCCAGTTGATTAAGGAAAAGGTTTTCATGAAGAAAAATGAAAGGTTGAGATTTTATACTTTACTTCGCTTTAAGGTAGATGTGTTTATAGTCATGTCTCATATTTGTGTTAATATTTTAGTGAATTTTTTAAAAAAATATTTTAGCGATTTTTTGAAAAATGAAGTTGAATCAAAATTCACTCATGATGCTGGTGAATTTGAGTGAAAAAGCCAGGTCTACACAGCTACAAGGTAACTTCCTTTTGTGATTTGAATCTTGAATGTCCCCCTAAAGGTTTTCATATTGAAGGCTTGGTCCCCAGTGTGACAGTGGGGCTTTTGGAAAGTGATTTGATCATGAGGCTCTGACCAAATCCATTGATGGATTCATAACTTGATGCTATTATTGGGAAGTGTCGAACACTAGGATGTAGGGCTAGTTGGAGGAGGTAGATGACTGGAGGTATGCCTTGGAAGGGTATACCTGCCCCCTGGCCCTTCCTCTCGATGCTTCCTGGCTGTCATTAAGTGAGCAGCCTCCTCTGCTACATGCTCCCACTGCCATGGTACTCTCCTCGGTGCAGGCCCAAAGCAATGGAGCCAGCCAGCCTTGGACTGAAACCTCTGGAACTGTGAGGCAAAGTGAATCTTTCCTCCTTTAAGCTGATTTTCTTAGGTATTTTGTCACAGCAGTGGAGCACTGGGTATTACATTTCCTTACTTAGAGATTGCTAAGAAGCCACAGGCCAGAAGCACATTTCTCTCTGATGGATGAGGGGCTGGCAGATGAGTATAGGTTATCTTCTAAGATTCCCTACAGCTCGTAATTCATCTTGGGTCTTTGTTGTTTCTCTCTGAATATGTGTAGCATTGTGGCTATATAGTTGAAGGACAAACAATGGTGACACCAAAGTGGACTTGTAAATACTCAAAAGTTGATGTTTCATAATCTACTTTAAAGAGGGCTGTTTAAAATCCTGATGTGATTGTCGTTAAAATGTTTTTTGTGAAAGACACATCTAAATAACTGTTATAGAACAAAAAATATCTGGACATTTTTGCCTGCCTTTTTGAGGGCTGGGGAGAAGGATATGGGTGTATGTCTCCATGCACACACATGTACTGCAGTGGTTCTCAAACCTGGCTGCACATTTGAATTTCCCATGGATATTTTGTTTAAAATAGAAACGACCCTCCCTCCCAGGAATTCTAATCCAGCAGCTTCTAAATAAGCTAAGTGTTATGAAATAAGGATTCTGTGTGTCTGTTCACAATGTCACTAGCAGGTAGGTCACTGTCCACTGTGCAGGAAGTGCTCAGTGTTCTCATGTGCCCTGGGATGGGTGGATGAGTTGGGGACTGACTGTTTGGATCAGTATCCTGAGTCTTCCCCCTTCTCAGTGTAGTTTCCTTTAGTCACTGAGTTCCGATGTCTGGAGATTTGAAAGTTTGTTAATTATTCAAGGGGATTGGACTATGAGCACATGATAAAAGCGAGAGCACACAAGGTAGGGGTGAGGATAAGGAAGACACCTAAAAAACTAGCTAGCATTTGTTTCCCTTAACGCAGAGAAACTAAAGCAGATACCTTAAAGCAACTGAGGCCAATAGGAAAAGGGGAACAGGTACTAGAGAAAAGGTTAGATCAAAAAGAATTAACCTAGAAGGTAACACCCACGCACAGGAAATCAATGTGAGTCAATGCCCTGTATAGCTTATCCTTATCTCAACCAGCAAAAACCCTTGTTCCTTCCTATTATTGCTTATACTCTCTCTACAACAAAATTAGAAATAAGGGCAAAATAGTTTCTGCTGGGTATTGAGGGGGGGGAGAAGGAGGGGAGGGAGGGGGTGGGGGCAGGGGGGAGAAATGAACCAAGCCTTGTATGCCCATATGAATAATAAAAGAAAAATGAAAAAAAAAAAGTTTGTTAATTATTTAAAACAAAACCACTTCTCTCATTCCCTCTGTGAGCTAAAAATAACCTTTGGATCTCATTTTTTATCATCATAATCTCTTAATAAAAAGATAGAGCCAAGGAGAATGGGGCTAGGGGAAGAGGAGCATAAAAGAAGTCAAACCAAGTCCAAAGATCATGCAATCAATGTGAAAACCACTACCTCAAGGATTTCTTCCTCCCCCAGGCAGTACCTAACTCTATGCTGGCATGTGTTCAAGTTCCTCTGCCTTTAATTTAGTCTTCAGCATAAACCCATCGTTTCTTGGAAACTGTCCATGTAGAGACCCACACTTGGTTTGGCTTTGTCTAGTTACAATGCCCAAGTAAGAAAACACTTGAAGGTGGTGGAACAAATTCCTCTCATTTTGGGATTCACTTTGTAAGCCCATTCATTTTTCCCCCAGGTGGTGTTCCGTCTTTGATTGCTGGTCTCTTTTTTGGATTTTTGGCTGGCTATGGAGCTTACCGTGTATCCAATGACAAACGAGATGTGAAACTGTCGTTGTGTAAGTAAGACATTTTTTCCTATTACAGAGAATCATCCTGGGGAGTCCTCTACACTCTACTCTATACTAGGTTTACTAGAAAATAATACTGTCAAATGTTAAGTGGCTTTGTGTAGCATATGTTGGGTGCGACTATAACCTCTGTTCCTTTCTGGACAAGACAAAAAATGGTACTGCTACCAGCCTTACAAATCAAGTTTCAATAAAACTGTTTACTAGAAAAATTAGATTAAGTTAAATTAGAAAGAGCAAGAGATTATTCCTAGATTTTCTGTTAACTCCCCTAAATATACATGTGGCATAGTTTTATGTTGCTATGAAAATAATCTAAAAAGAGACAAGCTTGTATTATTTTATTTAATTCATAGACAGCTTTTAGATTCTGCTCTGTCTTAAGACTTAATTTAGAGAAGCAAGCCTGACCCTTTTTAAGGTTTTTCCTTTATTGGGCTTACTAAGAGAATGTCTGAAAAAAAAAAAATGGAAACCCATGTGTTTAAACTCCAGAATGCTTGCCTTTCTTTTGTGTAACTAGACAAACAGAGTAGGTGAGGGGTGTATGGTTCCAAAAGGAGACAACCTTTGAGAAGAACTGGACTGCTCATGATGCATAGAGTTCAGTGCTGTACTGCAGATGTCTGATTCATTCTTCCAGTAATGCTGTCCATTTTCTGCTAAAGAAAGGCTGCCTCTCAACAAATCTAACATTTTCACTTCAGTTTAGCACATTAATTTTTACCTTGCTTTTTGGTCATTTTCTTTTTTGGAAGGCAAATTTTCACAAAATAAAGAGCAGGAAAACACTCAGCAGGTCATACAATAATTTAAACACAACTGATGCTAGTATAAGACTGAATTCTCTGCATCCCCTGAACTGTGTAATGTGTGTGTGAAAATTTAAAATGTTTTTTAAATTTCTTTCTTTTGACATTTTTTAACTGTATTTGATCAAAACTACATGGCAATAAATCCATAAGTAAGGCATGCTTACTGTATAGTCATGCTTTGGAAAATACACCAAGAAAATTGTCTGTTTGATTTAATTCCTTTTTTTTTTTTTTTGTGATGGTACTGGGGTTTGAATTCAGAGCTTCATGCTTCATGCTTACTAGGCAGAGACTCTTCCACTCCAACCAACCTTCAGCCTGTTTGATTTAATTCTTATTCAAAGTGCCATGGTTGGATATAGAGAAAAACACAAATGCAAACAAAATTTTATATTTGAGGGAGACAAAGATATGTGGTGGGGGTTTTCTTCCCACATTTTAAATGCAGGCTAGGGATATTTTTAATAATGAGGTTGTGTCAGAAGATGAAACTGTATCAGCAAAATATAGATACATTGGGCCTTTTATGCATGTGCATTTAAGTAGTTCACATGTTTATTATCAATCATTTTATTATTTTTAATATCAATAAATAGTTTTTATTTGAAAACTGGTCTTAGATTCCTTTTTGGTTTTGTTTGTAGTACTGAATGTCAAAGCCAGGGCCTCACACATGCTAGGCAAGTGCTCTACCACTGAACTACATCCCCAAGCTCCTGTGTTCATAAACCATGACTTTGGTCCCCTAATCTCTTACATAAAACCACCTCTCCCTTCCTATGGGTACAGCTCTTAAAGGCTGGCATGAGGCTCCTGAAAATAATCATGAAATTAATGATGCTGCTAGGCTCCAGTTATATAACTCCCTTCCCCAATGGAATGATGCTACAAAAAAAAAAAAAAAAAAGCAGCCAGAATTCTTCCTAGTATGAGTTTAAAATCAGATCTTACTTCCAAAGAAATGATGGGACATTTAGTTAAGTAAACATTCACTGGTTGTCTCCTGTAGGTCCAACTATACTGCCTAGTGTTTCTGAGGAAGACTGAGTAAGACATACTCCTAGTCTTTAAGAAGTGTCCTGTGAGTAGAAACTTAGATTTAGGAAGAGACTCTTCTGAAGATATTTCAGGAAGGGACTTTAATATGTTTGTTTACTCAAAAATTTCTCAATGAACTAGTTTATAAAGCATGGACTATTTCCTTTTTTGAGAAAATAATAACTCAGTATCTATACATAATAGTTTTATTTATGTTTATTTTTGTTATATTATTATTATTGTCCTGGGGGTATATTGTGGCATTTACAACAGTGCTCACAATATATCTAAGTCAAATTCATCCCTCCTTCATTCTCCTTTGTCTCCCACCACCGCAGTCTTAGAACAGCTTCAACAGGTCTCATTTTTCATAGCTTCAAAACTATGTCCATTTGTTTGTTCATTTTGGGTGATACTGGGGCTTGAATCCAGGGCCTGAGCCACCCTTTTTCTGCATTGGTTATTTTGTTTTATAGACAGGCTAGCCTGGAGCCATGATCTTCCCAATCCCAGCCACCTTCATGCCTTGGAATAACAGGTGCATGTTTCTGCACCCAGTCGTTGGTTAAGATGGAATCTTGCAACCTTTTTGCCCAAGCTTGCTTTGAGCGGCAGTCCTCACAATCTCTACTTCCCGAGTAACTATCATTACAGACTTGAGTCTACCTATTATCCATTTTTTAAAATCAGAAACAAGCACTGATGACATGTTTGAAACACTGATGTATGGGTTGGTTTGGATTCCAGTTACAGCCTTCTTCCTGGCCACCATAATGGGTGTGCGATTTAAGAGGTCCAAGAAAATAATGCCTGCTGGGCTGGTTGCAGGCTTAAGGTAAGAGCTATTTTCATCCATACTTTCCTTTGCTATCATTTCAAAGTCAAGAATTAATTTTCATTTGAAAGGTCAAAGTAGTTCTTATTACAGTAGCATGACTGTAGAATCCTGAAGCCATCATGGATTCATCAGTCTTTGGAATGGATGTGCGCATGAAATTTCTACTGGGTATAATTTGAAGCCCTATCATATCTGAGCACATGTACATACTTACCTTTTCAGAATAAAGAGCTAAATTCAGCCTCCTTTTCCCTCAACATTCACCCACCTGAAGCAATAAATAGTTTAGTTAGGTCTCTTTTTAGAGAGTTGGACAGTGACAGTCTGATGCAGTAATTTTGAATTTTTAAGGGAGATAAGTTTATTAATTTTTAAAGGTAAGTCAAGTTTCTCTTAATTTAATTTTTTATCTGTTTTTTGCAGTGCTGGGCATTAAACCTAAGGTCTTGATCCTGCTAAGCAAGCACTGTACCACCAAGCTACATCCCCAGCCCTGATCCAGTAATTCTGTCCATGACATTAAGCATATTACCTAATAAAACACTGAGAGATAACATTATAATTCCTTGTGGAAGCTTCCTTTATATTTTGTAAGCCATAAACGTTCATTTCTTTTGATGTCCATTTCACTTTTTGGAATCTATTTCAAAGAGGTGAGATGGACATAGAAGCTGATGTCCATTGCAACTTTATCTCTAATGGAAACCTGATAAACTGAAAAATTAGGAATGACCCCGAGGTCCACCAATATGGAAATGTCTCAATAAATATCTTCTCCATTACATGGAATATTGACTTGGCATTTGCATGTCATGTTTTTAAAAACTGTTTAGTGTCATTAGAAAATCTTAATGACATAAGGTATAAGAACAGACTCAAACCCCACCAAATACATAAACCCAATTTTTTTAGGTCTTTTCTAATTTTTCTCATCAATGCTTTTTTATTATTATTATTTTATCATTTTTACATTTACTTAAATGTGTCTACATTGATTGGACCACCTCCCCCCTCACACCTCTGTTCCGGGCAGAAACTATTCCATCCTCTTTTCCCCTGATTTTGTTGGAGAGAAAACATAAGAGATAATAAGAAAGACAAAGCATTTTTGCTCGTTTGAGATCAGGGTAGCTATACAGAGAGATTCCTAGCATTGTTTCCATGCACAAGTGTATTACAACCCACATTGGTTCATCTCTACCAGACCTCTTCATTACTTCCTAGTCCCCTTCCCATTGTGGCCTCTGCCAGTTTAAAATTACTTTATTCACTCATCTACAGTGGGCACATTAACACAAGTTTTAGGTTTTCTTCCTTTTCCCTATTCCTCCCGTGTGTGTGTTCTCCCCTTAGTGTGTGACCTGTGTCCCATAATATTACTGCGGTTGTTTAAACCCAATTTTTTAAATGTGTATGTAAAAAAACAAGCTATAAAGGATATACCTCAAACTGTCAGTAATTTTTGTCTAGGTTGTTGCATAACAACATTTTAATTAATGTTATTTTTTTTCTGCTTTTCTGTAGAATTTTCTAGTGTGCTTATATTTTTAGGGATGGGCAAAGTGTAATTACAAATGACTGCTTCCTAGTGATAGCCCTTGTCTAAAAATGACACTTGTTGTGGGAAAGAATCAAAAGTAGGGTTTATTGCTCAAGACAAGAAACCAGCCAACAGAAAGTAGCTGAGATTGTAATAACCCTTTTCCCACCAAATTGTTCCTTAATTTCTTTTGACTCACTTTTGAAAGTTTATGTTTCTTAATGACACCCATTTGAAAAAAAAAAAAGAAAGTTTGTTTCTTCCCAAACCTGTCTTTCATTAACCTTCAGATCAGCACATTCTGAGTGTTCTCATTCATTCGGTGAACATTTGAAGTCTCATCTGGGAAGTTAGAACACAGGGTTGTTGAGTTCAGCCTGCTCCCAGGGGTGGAGCTGGGAGACAGCCCTGGGAACCAAGGCTTAGTCAGATAACTCAGCCTAGTATGTGACCTTTTTCATCTTGTACCAAAGAGTGACCCTCTCTCTGTCTTCCTTTTGTCTTTATTCAGCTTCATGATGGTCCTGAGACTTGTTTTACTGCTGCTGTGATCATCCAGATAACTGAAAACTAAATTTGTCGTTTTACTGTAATTGGCAGGGTGCATTCTTTGTACTTAAGAGATTAAATTTAGAGTGTTAAATGTCTCATTTTATGTTTGAAACAAAAGTAACACTGTCACCTCTAACATGAACACTAGCTTGAGGTGGTTTTTTGTTTGTTTTTTTAGAGCAAAAATCTTTTAATTGTTTCTAATTGTCAAGCCTTCTTTCCATTAAAGGTGTTTAGTGAATCATGATACACTGTTTCATTTGCTGGGACTATTTTTATGTGTGTGGTATTTTGGGGGGACAGTTCCAAATACTCATGACTCAAGCAAGTTTAAACTAAACTATAACTTACCAGATAGGTAATTCCTTAAGTGGACTTCAGCTATTGGTCACCTGGATTGTATTAGAAATTTTATTTGTATTGCTATTAGTATTATTTTTTTTCTTCAAAAGAATTTCATTCTAAGAACCCTCTGTGTCCTAACAGAATGTATTCAATATACAAATAAAAGATTTTTGTTTTAAACCTATTGCTTTCATTCTCTATATCCTCTATCATCTTTGACATTTAAATGTTTAATTAGTTATGAAAGAGATTGGTGGGCAAGGGGAGTGGTACTTACACCTTGTATTTCTTCAGGAGAAGATAATCTTCAACCCCACCTTCTCTCTGAAATAGTAACAATTCTCCAAAATTTATGTTTCCAAACACAACTTCATTTTAGGTATAGTCATAACTTTTTTTTCTTTCATTTATATGTGCATACAATGTTTGGGTCATTTCTCCCCGCTTCCCCCTGCCCCCTCCCTTACCTACCCCCTCGCTACCAGGCAGAAATTATTCTGCCCTTATCTCTAATTTTGTTGAAGAGAGAGTATTTAATGTCCATTCGATCAGGCACAGATTGAATGTCAGAAGACCTGAATCCCAGCCCTACTCTTCCACTGTCTAGTATGCTCTGTGGGAGGCCCTTCTCTCTCTGGCACTCAGCTTCTCATACTCTTTAAATTAGTGATCTACAAGACTCCTCAGGGCTCTAAAACCCTGCAGTTTCAGTTCTGACCACGTCATACTCTTGAAATGAGTGAGTGGAGAGCCTCAGCTGATCTCTAAGTTCCTTTCCTCAGAAGACTCCTTTGGCTCCAGAAACAAAGATAAGAAACTATTTTTCTCTTTTTCATTTTTTAAAAATGTATGTTCCCATGTCTGGATTTCAAGGCCCCCAGCCATATTCAAAGGTCCTTCACCACTGTAGCACCTGGGCAGCTCTGTTTAAATCCTCCAAGGGAGGACAACTGCAAACATGAACTTGGTTTGGTGTAAAATTCAGGATGGTGCCACTGATGGGTGAGAATTTAGATCTTCCTTAGAGTCCACCAAAAAAAAAAAGATCATCCTTGTATCATGTTGCATTATTAACCATAATTAATCCCAGCATGCATCTTGCTTCTGTGTATTCATTCATCCATTTATTCATATTTAGAGAAACCATAAGACTACTAATATGGCAGGGAATCCCGTGTTTCACTACATCAATGGACGGGGCAGAATGGAGTCCATCCAGTGACTCTTGGCTGCAGCTGGAGTGGAGGTAGGTTCTGAGTTGGGTCATTGCTAGCCAGACCTAAAACTGACTGTGTGGTACTTTTCCCATACCAGCTAGGACATGTCTCTCACTAAGTGATCTCTTAAGAATTGTACCTTGGTGTGGCATGCACAAGCACTCAGAAGAGTGCTTGTGACTCCAAGGTCAGCCAGGGCTATGTAGCCAGACCCTGTCTCAAAAAAAAACTAAAACAAAAAATTGTGAGAGAATTGTGCCTTAAGTGAAAATTCCCAGTTTTGAAGATACACATAAACAGATTTTTCCTAAAAATAGTTAAATTTCTTCTCAGTGAGCCTAGGCAGTAAAGTAAATTTAAGGAATTAGTCACAATGTATGCACTTTATTTGGAATGAGGCATTAAAGTGTAAAAAATAATTTGTGGCATTGTACAAGAATCAGAAATACAAATATTGATTGAATATCTGGTGACATTAAAGAATTATTACTGTTATAGATGAAGTAAGTTTCCATAATGCAAGGATTAAAGTGTACATATTTGGAAAATAAAGTAAAATGAAAATCAAACCACTGAGTGGACAGTGACAACCTGCCTGATATCTAAGTAACACATTCACTAAGCAATGAGTATGCTGACTACCGGTGCCAGGTTCATTTAGGTCCTGGACACAAATCAGATGTCCCTGTTCTTGGGTGTCCTGTGTGTTGACAACAGTGCAGAGACGTGAAGAGATTATTAAAATGGAGGATGGCGCATCTGTGGGAACATTCAAGCATTTCACAGGGCTGAAAGGTCATTCCTCCTAGTTTGAGCAGGACATGTGGTAGATATCTGTGTAACTCTGAGTGCTGCCCCCTGAAGTCATCACTGGAAAAAACACTTCTCAGTCTGGACCTGAGTGACAGGTTCCCTGGAAAGGAACCCATGGACACGCTCAGGTGATCTTAGCCCTGCGGGGGGAGCTGTAAATGAAGGCTGAGGGTGAGGTGGTGTCCTGTGATGGGACCTTCTAGTGCTCCCTTATCCTTACAGCACCGTGTGTGCATAACTCTGGGATTACACTTGCTCAAACGCCTCATGAATGCATGGGACTTCAGCTTGATCCTTCTCAGTTTTGAAGAATCAACAGTAAATGCAAACTCTAGTGCCTTTCCAGGTTGTGTTAATTCTACAAATGGGTAACCTGGTTTCCCTGTCATCCAGATATTTGCCTTATCATTCAGGGACACATTCCAAGCCTTTGGGCAGGATGAATTCCAAATGAAGGGTGAAGTGGGGGCAAAGCCCTCAGCATCCAAGGCTTCCTCTCCCCTGTCCCAGTGTGACTACAGAAGGTGGTGGGCAAGGGCCATCTGGAGACCTTGCTCAGACCTTGGTCATAGCCTGATCATTACAGCCCCATCCATCGCCATCAGCCTCACTCTCAACATCACACTCCAACCCCATCACTCTTGGCCATCTATTGTGATGATGACACTCAATACCTTATATATTTTTCCTCAGTGGGTACTTGGTAAATTGCTGGCCCACACCAGCTTACTATGTCTGTAGCCTGGTCCTGTTGATCATGTAGATCCATAATGAACCACTCTACTGAACATGCCAGAAAAAGTTCCTAACTGTGACACCATGAACTATATTAAGTCATAACCCCTGTAACACAGCATTATTACTTTTCTTTTCTTTTTTTTTCATTTTTCTTTTATTATTCATATGTGCATACAAGAATTGGTTCATTTCTCCCCACTGCCCCCACCCCCTCCCTTACCACCCACTCCGCCCCCTCCCTCTCCCCCCCCAATACCCAGCAGAAACTATTTTGCCCTTATTTCTAATTTTGTTGTAGAGAGAGTATAAGCAATAATAGGAAGGAACAAGAGTTTTCGCTGGTTGAGATAAGGATAGCTATACAGGGCATTGACTCACATTGATTTCCTGTGCATGGGTGTTACCTTCTAGGTTAATTCTTTTTGATCTAACCTTTTCTCTAGTACCTGGTCCCCTTTTCCTATTGGCCTCAGTTGCTTTAAGGTATCTGCTTTAGTTTCTCTGCATTAAGGGCAACAAATGCTAGCTAGTTTTTTAGGTGTCTTACCTATCCTCACCCCTCCCTTGTGTGCTCTCGCTTTTATCATGTGCTCATAGTCCAATCCCTTGTTGTGTTTGCCCTTGATCTAATGTCCACATATGAGGAGAACATACGATTTTTGGTTTTTGGCCAGGCTAACCTCACTCAGAATGATGTTCTCCAATTCCATCCATTTACCAGCGAATGATAACATTTCGTTCTTCTTCATGGCTGCATAAAATTCCATTGTGTATAGATACCACATTTTCTTAATCCATTCGTCAGTGTGGGGCATCTTGGCTGTTTCCATAACTTGGCTATTGTGAATAGTGCCGCAATAAACATGGATGTGCAGGTGCCTCTGGAGTAACAGTCTTTTGGGTATATCCCCAAGAGTGGTATTGCTGGATCAAATGGTAGATCGATGTCCAGCTTTTTAAGTAGCCTCCAAATTTTTTTCCAGAGTGGTTGTACTAGTCTACATTCCCACCAACAGTGTAAAGGGTTCCTTTTTCCCCGCATCCTCGCCAACACCTGTTGTTGGTGGTGTTGCTGATGATGGCTATTCTAACAGGGGTGAGGTGGAATCTTAGTGTGGTTTTAATTTGCATTTCCTTTATTGCTAGAGATGGTGAGCATTTTTTCATGTGTTTTCTGGCCATTTGAATTTCTTCTTTTGAGAAAGTTCTGTTTAGTTCACTTGCCCATTTCTTTATTGGTTCATTAGTTTTGGGAGAATTTAGTTTTTTAAGTTCCCTGTATATTCTGGTTATCAGTCCTTTGTCTGATGTATAGTTGGCAAATATTTTCTCCCACTCTGTGGGTGTTCTCTTCAGTTTAGAGACCATTTCTTTTGATGAACAGAAGCTTTTTAGTTTTATGAGGTCCCATTTATCTATGCTATCTCTTAGTTGCTGTGCTGCTGGGGTTTCATTGAGAAAGTTCTTACCTATACCTACTAACTCCAGAGTATTTCCTACTCTTTCTTGTATCAACTTAAGAGTTTGGGGTCTGATATTAAGATCCTTGATCCATTTTGAGTTAATCTTGGTATAGGGTGATATACATGGATCTAGTTTCAGTTTTTTGCAGACTGCTAACCAGTTTTCCCAGCAGTTTTTTGTTGAAGAGGCTGCTATTTCTCCATCGTATATTTTTAGCTCCTTTGTCAAAGACAAGTTGTTATAGTTGTGTGGCTTCATATCTGGGTCTTCTATTCTGTTCCACTGGTCTTCATGTCTGTTTTTTGTGCCAGTACCATGCTGTTTTTATTGTTATTGCTTTGTAAATAGTTTGAAGTCAGGTATTGTGATACCTCCTGCATTGTTCTTTTGACTGAGTATTGCCTTGGCTATTCGTGGCCTCTTGTGTTTCCATATAAATTTAAATTTCAGTAGTTTTTTAATCTCTTTAATGAATGTCATTGGAATTTTGATGGGAATTGCATTAAACATGTAGATTACTTTGGGGAGTATCGACATTTTACTATGTTGATTCTACCAATCCATGAGCATGGGAGATCTCTCCACTTTCTATAGTCTTCCTCAATCTCTTTCTTCAGAAGTGTATAGTTTTCCTTGTAGAGGTCTTTCACATCTTTTGTTAGGTTTACACCTAGGTATTTGATTTTTTTGAGGCTATTGTAAATGGAATTGTTTTCATACATTCTTTTTCAGTTTGCTCATTGAGTGTATAGAAATGCTAATGATTTTCTATGTTGATTTTATATCCTGCTACCTTGCTATAGCTATTGATGATGTCTAGAAGCTTTCTGAGTAGAGTTTTTTGGGTCTTTAAGGTATAGGATCATGTGTCTGCAAATAGGGATATTTTGACAGTTTCT